TAGGGAGTCAAGGTAGAAGGAACTGACAGAAGGCCTCTTCAATACACTACTATTGGGATCAGTAAACTCTAAATATTTTTCTTTCATGATTTATTGCCTTTCTTTCAAGATTCAGGGTCCTAGGAGAGAGATCCCACTGACCTTGTTTGGGTCAGGTACCACTCTATAGGTCAAGATCAAGGAGCCTTATGAATAGTCCCACCAATTGTTTAGCATAAGGAAGACCCAAATCCCCCAAAGGAAAAGGGGCGCCATTACAGAAGGGAGGAAATGAAAACCAGTCTGTTTGTAAAATCGCCTTACAGAATACAGAATATCAGAGAAATAGCAAGTGAGAGATATCAAAGGAATAGAGAAAACTACAGGAGAAAAACATTATGTAATCCTGACAGAAAACAATAAATCACAAAATAGTATTTTTCACCATGCTCTATTGATACATGTATCTCAAACTATGAAACAAGTAAATGTCAGAAGCTGTTAGCCAACACTGCATAAAAACTTGTCTTTCTAGTCAGAGTTGGTACACACAAGAGCTTTGTATTTCAAAGGTTTGCTCTCCAGACTATTTGCTGTGAGAAGAATTTTTCTGACTTCTTGTCCTATGTGTTGAAATGTCAACCCAGGCAAGGCAAGGCAAGGCAAGCAAGACAAGGCAAGGCAAGGCAAGGAAAAGGTATTGGGTGATGGAGGCATTTCTGTCTAGGTAGGTCTTAAACCGGGAGGGAGGATACTCCGCCCACCCTTTCACTTTCCCTCCTCCAGAAAACATTGGCTTTTTCATGATTCTGTTGTTTTTGCCTATGTGCTTTTCCTAATGTTCCATAATTTGAAGATTTAAATGAAGAAGAATTTCAAATGCATTTTTTTTTAACACAACCTTTTAGTCGCATTAGATGTTTGGTTATTGCTATCATACGTTATCTAGTTTAGGGGATTAAGACTCTTTTCTTTCAGAGATTCTGAACAAAAATTGCAAAGTATTAAATTCATGAGAAGACCAGAATTATATTGTTTACTTTTATAATAGAGTAAGCACTGGAGGAAGTAAACTTCTAATGAAGGGGCATATATGATTACTTCAAAGGATTTTGATATTTGGAGTATTCTGTCTGCTAACACAATTGTGTGATCTGAGAAACTGGATATTAGATGCTATCGTTTGATGCACATATTGTAACATCTTTTAGTTTTTAGTTATTAGATATTGAAATATTAAAATATTGAATATGCAGTTACTAAATAGTCAAGTTATTTATGCAAAGGTCGATGGCAGGTGGGGACATGATTTTTGCATAGTGTTCTAAATGTCAAAGTAAAAATATTTACTAAAGCTTAGGAAAATTGTTGGGTGTAACTATGACTCTGTTAAGGTAGCTAAATGTCTCACCATCTAATTAAGGATGTGAATGAATGGATGATTGATTTCCTAATGCCTTTACCTATTATCTGATGAAATCACAGCCAGGCAATGGCTTAGCAAAATCTTTGAGCAAAAGAGACTGTTGACTTTGATTATATACCTGGCGTGGTGAAGAAACACAGGAGGTACAGATTAAGTGGGAGCAGGAAGGTCAGGCTTTGGACTTCCAAATGCATGGCCACATATATTATTTCAGAACTTAGAAAAAAGAAGAAACATCTTCAAATTAAAATATATATATGTATATTATTTTGATACCAAAACTTAGTAAATATTAAAAAAAATAAAAATAAATAAATCTTACTTCTGAATTTTAAAATTCCCCTAAGTAGGTTGATATAATCAAAATAGTGCATTAAACAAGGAAGATTTAACCTAACAATTCAAGGATAGCCTAATAATAGAAAATACAGGCATTATTACATTAAAAGTTATAAGAGAAAATCATAATCATTTCCCTGGGTACTAGAAATGCATTTGGTAAAGTGTAGTGGGCATTCTTTTTAAAAAATATATATTTTATTGATTTTTTAAAGAGAAGAAGAGAGAGGGATAGAGAGTTAGAAACATCGATGACAGAGAAACATCGATCAGCTGCCTCTTGCACACCCCCCACTGGGGATGTGCCCGCAACCAAGGCACGTGTCCTTGATCGGAATTGAACTTGGGACCTTTCAGCCGGCAGGCTGACGCTCTATCCACTAAGCCAAACCAGTTTCGACGTAAGCATTCTTTATAACACTCAAATACAGAAAAAAATGAATGCTCATATAACTTGTGGAATATCAGCCTCAGGGGCTGCTCCTTGACATTTGAGGGCATTTTCACTAAAGTTAGAAACTAGACAAAGATCTATACTCTTATTATTTAACATTATTTTAATTTTCCTATTCAATGCAAAGACAAAGGAAGGAAATCAGTACTATAAAAGTTCAAAATAAGGAGGTAAAACTATCAGTTTGTAGATGAATATATGACTGTATTTTATTATGTGTTGTATATACCTAAAAGAATCATCCAAAATGAAGGTAAGGTAGTGGGATTCAAAATTACCATGCAAACATCAACAGATAAATCAAAGAAATAACCCCAATTATAATGTTAGCAAAAAGGATAAAATATCTAAAAATAAAAAAAGAAAAGTTGGGGAAAACTTTAAACAAAAGTAGATTTGAATACATGGAAATTGACACCATGTTCTTAGCTAGACTCAACATTATAAAAATAATTAATTTTCCTTAAGTCAATATGTAAATTAACTTTAGTCCCCATGAAAACATCATCAGATTATTTTAGAGTCAGATTCAGAAATTTATATTAAAAAGTAAATAAATAAGAAGAGCTGAGAAAATACTGAAAAGCTTTGCAATGATGGAGAGAGAGAGAGAGGAGGAACTTCACCCCACTAAAACTTAAAATATATTTAAATTGCCAATTAAATGAATGTGGTAATGGTAAGTGAATAGATGGATCAATGGAATAGAACAGAAAATCCAGAAATAAACCCATATATACCCAAGAATTAGGTAGGAATTACAAATGGCATTTCACACAACATTCAAAGAATGCTAACAAATGCACGTTAAAGCTATAATGACATACTCCTTTAAAGCCAACAAATTGACAAAAGTCCAAAATTTTCACAACACACCCCAAAGTGCTGGAGGTGATATAAAGTGATTCAGTCACTCGAAGCCAACTTGTAGCATTTGTAATGCTAAATTATAAATGTACACACCCTTTGACTCAGCAATTTCTTAGGGATTTTATCTAAGAGATATGCATATATGCAAAAAGTTACATGTATATTTAAGGTTATTTACTGCAGCTTTGTTTTTCATTGTTAGCCATAGGAGACTGGTTAAAGAGTTCAGAGAAAGCCCTGTACTGAAACACAATGCAGCAGAAAGAAAAGAATAAGGAAGGTCATTATGCATTGATGTGAAGGTCTTCAAGATATTTGTCAAGTGGAAAAAATATTCTGATTAAAAAATATATACCTACAAATGTATCTAGCATGCTATTTTGGGTAGAATAATAGAGGAAATCTATATTTGAGTTACTTATGTATGTATAAACTCTAGAAAAGAAACAAAAAACATTGGTTATCCATGGAAGAAATAGGAGTTAGGGAGGAAATAGTAGATGAAGATTGTATACCTTTGATTTTTTTTTCATTTTTGAACCATGTGATTTTTTTGCTTCTTCAATAAGTAAATAAGTATATAGACATATAGTGATATACTATGTGTGTGTGTATAAATAAACTATATTTGTGTGTCTGTGTATGAAGAATAAAAGCCCAGCGGCCATAACGATCAGAAGACTACTCGACCAGTCACTATGAGGTGCATTGACCACCTCCTGGTCCATCCTCCCAAGCCCGCAGGCTCCAATCGCAGCATGACCAATGGGGAACCAGGTGGGTGATGGCAGGGTGGGATCGGGACTGGTGAGCAGGTGGAAGGCAGACTTCTGGGCCCCCGCCCTGGTTTGTAGGCTCTGATGGATCAATGGATGGCGAACAGGGGAACCAGTGGGGCAGGACTAGGGACTGGCAAATGGGCAGAAAATGGTCCTGATCACAGCCTAGGCCTAGGTACCCTACCCACACACGATTCGTGTGCTGAGCCTCGTGTGTGTGTGTGTGTGTGTGTGTGTATATATATATATATATATATATATACTGGAGAGTGTATGTGTGTGTGTGTGTGTGTGTGTGTGTATATATATATATATATATACACACACACACACTAGGGGAAAATCTCTAAGGGTATTAAGTGACTAAAACAAGGTATGGAACACAATGTACAGTATTCTACTTTTTGTCAAAAAGAGGGAACTCTAAGGCGATTTGCTTGGAAGGGTACTCAAGATGGTGAACATTGTGCTGCTGGTTCCCCTCCAGTCTCCTTTCAAGAATGAAAGATTCCTCCGCAGCCAAGAGGGCTGCTGGCAGATGGCCTTCAGCTGACAACCCGCATGGGGACTGATTGCCTCTTTGGAGTGCCAGCTCACCTAAGGTCATGCTTGCCCCTTTCCTGGGTGTTCCTTGTCCAGACAATGCCCAAGTTGGGCAATTCTAAAGGGTCATCTCAGTTTTAGAAATTCCCTTCCTTCATGCCCCATGGCGGTTCACCTTCTCCCACTGCCAATCCTTTTCATAGGAAGACAACACCCCAAATAAACCTATTCTTGCTAGGAATCGGCTTCCTGGGAACCCAAAGTGTAACAGGAAACCCCAATCAGTTATTTGTGAGGCTAGAAATGTGGTGAATGAAGATAAAATTGGGAAGGATACTTTTAACTCTGTGCCTTTTTATAATAAAAAAAATGGTGCCACATGTATATATGACTTGTTTAAATCATAAATTTAAAAAAATGTAAGGTTCACTTTATATGCCTGTGGTATTTTATGCTTTTTCACGTGTATTTTTCCAAAAACATCTTTTATGTTTCAACTTAGAAGATATTTTAAATCCAAAATACTGTGCTTCACCTCACTCTAAATATGCCTTTCTTTTCTGTTTTTGTTTAAGACCCACAGAGGCATACCTCCTGACCTCACCTTACAATGGACATGAAGAAGTCACCTGATGGCGGATGGGGCTGGGTGATTGTGCTGGTCTCCTTCTTTACCCAGTTTCTGTGCTATGGATCCCCGATAGCGGTCGGAGTCTTGTACTTAGAATGGCTGGATGCCTTTGGTGAAGGGAAAGGAAAAACAGCCTGGGTCGGATCCCTAGCAAGTGGAGTCGGCTTGCTTGCAAGTAAGTGGGTAAATGTATGCTTCTCCTGACTCATTAGTCATTGAATTGCTTTTGCTGCATCATTAACACTGTGCAGGCATAGTAGGCTACTTGTTTTTAAAGTATAACAGGTTTTTCTTGCCTTCGTTGAGATTATATAACCACTCTTTCACTGTAATAAACGTGTGAAAATACAGAAATTCTATAAGATACTCATTCATTCATTCATGTCTTTACTCATTTATTTGCCACTGTGTGCTAGGGAGTGTGTTAGATGTTGAATATGAAAAGATGAAGAGCAAACACATAAGTCTGTCCTTAAGAGGCTCACAGTCTAGTGAGATACACACTTCCATGAGTAAGAATGACACAGGGAAATGAAGGCAGTGATTCAGGAAATGATTTGGGCATGTCCACTGAATGCTGGTAGTCCTATTACAGGTTTCATAATTGTGCTTCTAATTCAGATACGCTGTGATCAAATCACATGTTCTACATTTGTATCATCTTTATAAGAAAAGTTTTACATGGCAAAGGGCAGTCCCATCTCACAATGATGATGCTATTAAAAATTTTAATATAGTGGGGGTTTTTATAAGATATATGTGATGTATTTTATGTGACCTTCATATAATGTCTCCAAAAGTAATATTCTTGATAAACATTTACATCTGATATAATAGTGATTCCTATAATCTTTACAGAGAAAATAGCAGAGGGGCTTTTATTTTCATTCAAAGACTTAATATCGTATGACACTTCAATTTCTAGTGTAATAGTTTAAACTTTGCAGTAATATTTAGTGACTATCACTCTAACATGTTGGCAAACTTACAGGTGTGCCAACCTGGTGACATAGATTGGATCATTAGCCCCAGGGAACTTCTTGTGTGCTCTGAACTTGACGTGATTTGTTGAGCAAATCACAATTTTTATTCTTACAGGGGGAAAAAGGACATTTAATATTGAGATATGTAAGGTATTTTTCAGCTCTAAAGTAATTTGGAATGGAAATAAAATGCATTAGTCATTTGTTTTTTTTTGTTTTTAAATGTTGTCTTTTCTGAATCATAAAGGGGAATTTTAGAAACAAAACAAAACAAAACAAAACAAAAGCAGTTGCTTCCAATTGATGTTAAATTAAAACCAATGACTATGTATATGAGTAACTGGTTATTAGACTTGATGCTTAGTAGTTTTATTGTGATGATAATTTTGTAAGATATAAAACATTGAATCACTATGTTGTGTACTTCGTACTAATATAATATTGCATGTCATTTAATAATTAAAAATAAAGTAAGACAATTAATACATCCAACTTAAAAACAAAACAAAAACAAGACTTGAAAAACATGATGGATCATCTGGCTATGTCACATAAGATCACTAAACATAACCAAACAAATGAAAATTATGCTATCATCATCAGCTCAAGATAAACAGTAAAAATTTGTCCAAGATTTGTTTAAAAGGGTTTTTATACCTTGAACATGTATGATCTTGTCTGAAAGCGTTTTTCAAAATGTGAATTGTTTGTAAAACTGCAAAGTACAAGTAGATGATAATTTATATCTTAATATATGTATTAATTTTGAGAAAATGATCGAATGTGAAGGAGAGAAGATTTTTTAATGTGCTCTAGTTAGCCACCATTTTTATTAGCAGATATTAAGTTAAACAGAAATGTAGTTACCTTGGTGGTCAGAGCTGAGGCTGAGACTCTGAAGACTGAACTGCACTCTATCCTTTCTCTAAGTTAACTCTGTCTCAAGGGCCAGGAGCAGCTCCTGTTATTGTAGGCAAGGTTGGCCGCATAATTTGCAGGTCCCAGCGCAAAATGAAAATGCAGAGATCTTGTTAAAAAAGTAAAGAATTCAACACTAGAACAGGAAATCAGTGTATGGCCTTGCTAAGAGCTAAGCCCTGTGTGCTTGCATAGGTCATAAGCCCAGGAAGCCAGCCCTGCTTGAGGCTGGAGATAACAGAGTATCCCACCAAAGTTCAGAGGAGACAACAAGTATTGGTGTGGGGGATGGGATGTTGGTCTTAAGTCAGAGACAGCTTCAAGTCCTGGCTCTACCACTATTTAGCAGAGAGATCTTGTGCAAGTCACTTAACTTTCATGTCATTAACGAGGAGAGGAGGTACTTGGAGCAGCTAATTAAAGCCTTTGAAGATGAGCATAGAATAAGGAGTCCAAAGGATTCAAAATTGAGGAAATGGTGGGAAAAAATAATGGCTGAAGAGCTACCCACTTTCTCTTCCTCTCTGTAAAAAATAAATAAAATATATTTAAAATGATAATTTATACAAATGTGCATGCATATTTATATATATACATCTTTTTAATAAAAGATGGGCTTTACATACCTATATGAAATATAAAAAGTTGCTTTTTTAAAAATATTTTTTAATTGATTTCAGAGAGGAAGAGAGAGGGAAAGAGAGATAGAAGGATCAATGATGAGAGAGAATTATTGATTGGCTGCTTCCTGCACGCCTCTCACTGGGAATTAAACTGGCAACCCAGTCATATTGCCTGACTGAGAATCACACAGGTGACCTCCTGGTTCATAGGTCAACAATCACCAACCAGGCTACAGTTGCTCTTAAGTTCAGGAATATGTTTGCATTACTGGAGTTTGTCCAAAATCAACATCCTACACATCTGTGAGTGATGTGGAGATGGTGGTGGGCCCAGGAGTCTTCTTCTAACTGCTCCCCAGATGATTCTGATATAGGCAGACCATATCATATGTGAGAAAAATGTGCTATTTTCTTTCCTCAGTTTTATCCAGAGAAGGCAGGGTAGGGCGTCATCTTTGATTAGTTCTGTGAGTGACCTCTGAAACTTTACAATGAGCAAGGCGACAGAGTAAGTACAATTGCCCAGCAGCATAGAAATTCTATTCTTCGTGTACTTGTCCCTTAAGTCCGCTAATGCCCTGTGTGCCTGGCTCAGTCCAGCCACTTTCGCTTACTTGATCTTAGTTGATCCTAAAAACTATGCACTGAGATGGGCATTATTGTCCTCCAGGTTGAGTGACCAGGCCAATTTGAAACCCATTCTCTAAGAGAAAGTGGAACCTGAGTCCCAGTTTTCTAACCTGCTAAGCCTATTCCTTTATCTTTAAATTGTACCTACCTTATATGCTTGCTGTTTAGAACAATTGGGGTAGTGCCTGGCATATGGTAAGTGCTCACTAAATATTGTTTAGTAGGGAACCAGAGTTAGCCACAAATAAAATTATTTTCCTAAGTGGTTCCAAAGTATTTGTAAAAGAAAAGGTCCCTTCAGGATGAAAGACAAATACATTTCTAGAGGGGTGAGCAGGAGGAAGAGCTAGAACTTTGTCAAGATTGTGTCTAAGCACCTGGAATTTAAAGGCCCACCACTTGTCTCTGACAAACGTAGATTTGGACAGTAGTTGAGTAGCCTATTAGAGAGCTATGAGAAAAAAAAAATGCAATTCTTAATTTTATAGTCTTTGTAATCTTAATTTTTTCTCTTTGAAACTAGACTAATTGAGGAGAAAATACTTCTTCCTCTGGTCTGATTTGTTTGTGCAGATGCTCCTCAGAATGCATAAAGATGAGCACCAAAGAGCCTACCTCTTTGAGTTTTATATTGAGAACAAACTTAGCATCACTATACTTCTCCACAGTCTCCTCTTCTCTGTGCTAGGAGGGATTAGTAGTCTCAAGGAAGAGACAGGGGGGAAAAAAGTTACTGATAATTTGAGACATCCCAAATATCAAGGAGAGTAGCAGGATCCAGACACTCTTTGGGGTTTTATAAGATAGGTGGGCCACACCGGAGGATGGGGTGCATAAGGCGGACGGTCAGGAAGAGGGAGGACCATCCAGAGTCCTCATATGCACAGGTGTGGAGTCTGCACTGTAGATGATGCACTTCAGTTGAATAAATTTGTCTGGAGAAGGAGAGATTGTGGTTGTTGGGAGGTGTGATGGTCACTGTCAACTTGGCTAGGCCACATCCTCCAGTTATTCAAACACTAATGTAGGTGTTGCTGTGAAGGTATTTTGTAGGTGTGCTCAAACTCCATAATCAGTTGACTTTTAAGAAAGGATGATTATCCTAGGTAATCTGGTGGACTGATTCAATCTGTTGAAAGGCCTTAAGAAAAGAGATGAGCTTTTCCAGATTAAGAACTTCTGCCTGTGGGCTGTAGTTCAGCCTGTGCCAAGTCCTCCCCCACTCTTCCTTGCCTAGCCAGATCCCATAATTGCATAAGCCAATTTCTAGTGATAAACCTCTTAATATACATGGTTGCTTTAAGGCTGAGTACCTAGAACACAGTTAAATCTTATATTATGATTTATTAATTATTGTATTATTTTCCATAAGGACAAATATAAACCTTTTTTTGCCCCTCTCTGCATGTCTTCTTCTGGTTCTGTTTCTCTGGCTAAAACCTGATGATCCAGAAGGAATGAAAGGTAACTAGTTCAAGAAGGGTGGGGCCATTTTTCAGACAATAGAGTTGCTGAAACAGCAGGGAGATTTTTTGTTTCTCCAAAGGCCCTCAAATTGCTGGGTCAGTAAATCTATCCCTAGGTTAATACAGTGCAGGGATAGGGAACATCCGCCTGTGGAACTCGTAAGGCACAAGAACTCGTTTGGTCTGGCTTTGCCAAGGCAACCACAGGTGGGATTTGAATTTTAATAAGTCTAGAAGCTTTTTTTTATGGCAACATAAATTTTTGTTAAGTGACTTATATTAAGCGGATGATGTTGTAACTATACAAATGGCCCTTGGCAGAAAAAAAGGTTCCCCACCTCTGTTAAGTGAGTCAGTATAGCCTACAGGCTTGCTGAATGAGTTGTGAGGGCTGGGTGGCAGAGCTGGGTAGGATCATATATGCAGATTTTAGTCCCAAGCACGGTTACCTCTTTCAAGCAGGACTGAAATTCTGCCTCCTACAAGGATTCTGTTGCAATGGCCAGTACTCAGAGTTGGTGAGAAGAATGGCAGGTTTTAGTCAAGCTCTCCTCCATCCCTACATAATACTGTCAAACCAACCAACCAACAAAGCAGTCAATACTATACATAGAATCAAGGATTTGAGTGTTTGTGAGGATGTGGAGAAAAAGAATCCTTGTGCTCTGTTGGTGGGACTGCAAACTGGTGTAGCCCTTGTGGAAAACAGTATGTATATGACTCATAAATTCTACTTCCTGGTATTTATTAGAATAAAATGAACACAATCATTTGAAAAGATATATGTACCCCTATGCTCATTTCAGTATTGTTTACAATAGCCAAGATATGAAAGCAAACCATGTATCCAGTGATAGATGAATGGATAAAGAAAATGTGAAACACACACACACACACACACACACACACACACACACACACACAAAGGAATCTTATGCAGCAATGAAAAAGAATAAAATCTTGCCATTTGTGACAACATGGATGGACCTACAATGTATTGTGTTAAGTAAAATAAATCAGACCGAGAAAGACAAATACATATGGTTTCACTTACATGTGGAATTTGGAAATAAACAAACAAAACAAAAAATATATTCATAGAAACAGAGACCAAAGGGATAGTTACCAGAGGGGGGGTTAGGGGAGGGGTGAAAAGGGAAAGGAGAATATAGACAATATTATAATAAGTGTACATGGTGACAGATGATAACCAGAATTAGTGGAGTGATCGATCATACTTTAAGGTTTAAGAATGTTGAATTACTGTATTATACATCTGAAACTAATATAACCAATATAAGATTGTATACCAACTACACTTAAAAATAAATTTTTGAAAAAGATGTCAGCTTTTCTATAAGTAAGCAGCAGGTGGCAGTGTGGAAATAGAAAAACAATTTTAAGCATTTTCAATTTGTTGTTTCATCTGTCAAAGAATTTCTAATCATTTTTTCCTTAAGCTTAAGTTTTTTAAGGATTTGTGTATTAGGCAAAAGTGATTTAAGAATTTATTACATAATTGATGATAAAGTATATATTTTATAAAACAGATGGTTTGGTTGTACATGATATGAAAATTACACCTTCATCCCCATCCCCAGCTTCTCAGACTCTGGATTTCCTTGTGGAGTAATAACATGCATTAAGGAACATGGATTTGAAATCCTACTTTTAGGATGAAACTGGAAACTTTTCAACTATGCCAGTAATAATATCTGTGTTTCAAGTCCATCGTGCTTATTACATTTGTCAACACTGACTCTCAATGCAAATGCAATTTGTTAAACAACAGAGAAAGGCCATGCTCTTATGGTGTCAGACAACTATTTATGAGATTTAATTCTTAAAATAATAAAGTATCTAAGTTTTTCTCTTTCGGTATAGAGACAGCTCAACTATTAGGAAAATTTGGTATTTCAAATTAATTTTTTTCTTTTAAAACATGGCCACAGAATATTCCCTTCTGTGTGTCATATAAATACATCAGTGTATTCTGTTATGGATCACACTAGAGAGGACCTGAAATGGCAGGGATCAGTTCATGATCAGGGAGTAATGTGAGTCACAGGTATTGAGAGTTAAGTGCTATCTCAGTGGTCATAATCTCATCTTAAATTAAAATGCACTTAAGCCATACTCTGGTACAGCAGTTCTCCCTTATCTGCAGTGGATATACTAATATTTCACTGGGTGCCTGAAACCATGGATAAGTATCCAGCCCTATATAAGCCATACTTTTTTTTTATACATCCATACCTATGATAAAGTTTAATTTATAAATTAGGCACAGTAAAAGATAACAATCTACACTAATAAAAGAGAAAGATGCAAATTGACTGTACCTTTGTGACATCCACCAGCCAATTAGGAGTGGTTATGCAAAGTAATCCAACAAATATGGCAGGTTAATTTGCATATGCAGGCTTGGAGCAAAGACTGAAGGCTCTGGCCTGAGTGAAGACTGAAGACTGAATAAGACTGAAGACAACTGAAGGCTGAAGAGGCCTGGCTTCTCTGCTGCAGCTGGAGCCAAGGCCTGGGTCCCGGGTGCCAGAGGAAAACCAGTGCCAGCAGCCAGGGGAAAGAAGGCCTGTTGCATGAAGATTCATGCAGTAGGCCTCTAGTAACTACTAAAACAATAGAGCAATTATCACAATATTCTGTTAAATGGGCCATTGTTAAGAAAATAAGGGTTACTTGAACACAAGTACTGTGATACTGAGACAGTCAATCTGATAACCAAGAGGGCTACTGAGTGACTAATGGATGGGTAGCATATACAGTATTGATACTATGGACAAAAGGTTAATTCAGCTCCTGGATGGGACAAAGTGGGATGGCGAGAGATCTCATTATATGTTGCTCAGAATGGCATGCAGTTTAAAACTTATGAATTGTTTATTTCTGGATTTTCTGTTTAAGGTTTGCTAACCACAATAGACTGAGGGTAACTAAAACTGTGGAAAGGGAAACCATGGATAAGGATGACTAGTATAATTGGCAAGAATGCTGGGCTTGGGGTCTTTGGATTTTGGCTCTACCACTTATTAACTATGGGTGGATTACATAATTTCTCCCTTTGACATTTCTTAAGACTTTTTTTTTTATTGAAACAAAAAATACATACAAAAAAGTGTATATATCATGAGAGTATAGACCAGTGAAATTTTCACAAACTCAACACACCCATGAAGTGAGCACATTCACATCATTCCATGTAAATGAGACTATTGTGCTAAATAACTTTTAATATCCTTTTGTTTCTAACTAGAGGCATAGTGCATGAATTCATACACAAGTAGGGTCCCTCAGGGTGGCCTGCAGAGATCAGGCCCCAGCTCATGCCTCCAGCCTCACAGCCCCACAACCCTGCCTGGAACCCTGCCTGGCACCCTGCCTTGGCCTGGTACTGCCTTCTCACCTGCTCCACCATCCTGTTTGCAGGGCGATGGATCAGGGCCAGGCCCCGCCCAGCTCCATCAGCACCTGGGAGCCGGGCAGTGGCCCCGTTTCCCCACTGTACCACTGGTTGCCATCTGCGGGGTGATCGGTGGTGCAGTCAGGCCCCTGCTTGCACCCTCCTCCTTGGCCTGGCACTGCCTGCTTACCTGCTCTACCATCCTGCCACTGTCCCATTGGGGCCAGCAGCACCTCCACTGCTGCCCACTGCCAGTGCCACACCACCAACACCTGCCATGTTCCACGTCACCCCCTGGTGGTCAGCGCACATCACAGCGAGCAACCAAACTTCCTGTCTCCCCCGTCGAACTCCCAACCCCCCACCCCCAGGGGACAATTTACATATAGGCTTTAATTGTATAGGGTATGCTAATCTCTGTAGTTGTAGGTACTTTCCAGGTACAGTGCTGGTGGGAAGGAATTTCACTAGCACTTAATGCTATTCCATGAGAAGTTGCCCGCCTATACATAGAACAGATCCAGGCAATGGTCACTTTTGCCTGTCTGTCAACAGTGTGCCTTCTCCAGATTCCAGGTTACACATGGAATGTAGGACAGTGGAACAGACAGACCATCTCTGGATGGGGAGGCTGCTTTTCCATTTGGCCAGAATATTCTCTAGGAAAAGAATAACTACTTCAATCCCACCTCTTCCCTCCACAGGATTACCATTGCTTATATTCAACCAATTAACATATCCATCTTCATCACCAATTATACGACAGGCCTTGTGCTGGAAAGAAAAGGTGCCTGGCACATGCAAGAGCCAAAAATCCTTAGAATATGAGGGTTAAGACCAGGGTCGCAGGAGTCGGACTAACTGGGTTTTTACTCTGTTTCTATTCTGGTGGCACTACTGCAGCCACTGGCATCACTGAAGAATGAGCACCGATTGGGCACTTCCTTGTGCCAGGCCTGGTGATCAGCGCTACACTTGCGCTCTTATTTGTTCTCCCAGTAAACACTATGTGGTGGCCTCAATTTCAGAGGAAGAAACTGAGGCACAAAAAGATCAAATAAGTTGCCTGAGATCAAAGAGCCAGCAAGTCTCACTCAGAACCCCCCACTTAACTCTGTGACCTCACCCCCATCCCGACACTTTAATTTCCTTGTCAGCAGAAATGAGGGTAACCATAGTATGTCCCTTCCAGGGTTGTAGTGAGATGAATATGAAAGGAGGTTGTTTCTGTGAAGTGCATGGTGTCCAGCACATTGTATATACACAGAAGATGCTTGTTATTCTTTTTGTGTGTTTTTTTGTGTGTGTGATGCAGAGTCATTTTAAACCTCAGGTGGGATGGGTAATATGATTGTGAAAATGAGACGACTGTGACCTAAGTGAAGGTTTCGTTTCCTTTTGTAGGTCCTATCTGCAGCCTCTGTGTCTCCTCGTTTGGCGCGAGACCTGTGGCGATCTTCAGTGGCTTCATGGTGGCCGGAGGCCTGATGCTGAGCGGCTTTGCCCCTAACATCTACTTCCTGTTCTTTTCCTATGGCATCGTTGTAGGTAAGAAACCTGACCTCGGTAACTGTCCTAAGTGCCAAGAGTTCATCATAACTTTACCAATGTTGGCTTCGTTATTTAGTTAATAGAGGAGGGGGAAATGTTCAGTAATAACTTACTATCAGTGGCCAGTTCACCCAAAATTGTTGCCTTGGTAAAATGTCCATCAGCGAATCAAAATATTTGAAATGATATATGTGTTTTAACAATGCACATTACGGTTTCTTTCAGGGGCAGGAAGGTATTTCGTTTCCATGCTTATCTCCAAAGCACACAAAAGGAGAAAGGAGAGGGGGGAATAGGAGACATGTATGTGACTGACATCTGACACTTCTCACTGACCTAGAGGGTGGTTCCTTTCATACTGGTAGGTTAGGCAGGTCTGTGTTCTAAACATTTTGCTGTTTCACAACATCTGTCACCACAGCCCTGATCACAAAGTCACGAGAGAAGTAAAGAGTAGATTTTAAAGCACGTGTTTCATTTGTTTTTTGTTTTTAAGTTTCTTTATTGATTAAGGTATTACATATATGTCTTTATCCCCCCATTACCTCTCCATGCCCTCCACTCATGCCCTCACCCCCTTGTGTCTGTGTCCATGGGTTAGGCTTATATGCATGCATACAAGTCCTTTGGTTGATCTTTCCCCTTTACCCTCATCTTCCCCTGCCTTCCCTCTGAGGTTTGACAGTCTGATTGATGATTCTCTGTCTATGGATCTGTTTTTGTTCTCATTTTATGTTGTTCATTATATTCCACAAGTGAGTGAGATCATGTGATATTTATCTTTCTCTGATCATATAGTTTATTTTTAACATAAGGCATGTTTGAAGAAAACTGAGTGGTGGGGATGGTTGATTTTGGCCATGGTTACAGGAGAGGAAAAGCAGAGTGCTCAGGGCTTGAGAGTTCTTTGGTAGATGGGGGATGCTTTGGTGATGTGCTCTACTAATTGTATTCAATGTTTAACATCATCAGACTCAATATTTGTAGGAGCTGCTTGAAGGGAATTTGAAAAAGACTCCAGCTTTTTAAGTTTTTTCTTAGTGTCTGAAAAAGCCTAATGTGTTGACTACCAATATTACTCTCTTTTACTGTTTTGACTGTTTCCCCAATAATAAATAATGGGGAAAATGGCAGCTAGCACTCACCAACTACTTACTGTGTGCCAGGGTCTGCACTAAGTAAGGTATCTGATCTCATTTAAACTCTCCAAGAACCTGTTCTACAAAAAAGGAAGGTGAAGCTGTGAAGTGAAATGACCAACTAAAGCAACATAGCGAGAACACGTGGGGTGGGGTCCACTCAGTCTGACACCACATCCTGACTCCTTTACATTTTCATAATTGTTTTTAGTGCTTTTAGAACCCAAGTTTATTTTAAATTTAACTGCATGCCCTAATACTACTCAAATATTTTATCTCTATAAAGCTTAAGATAGTTTTGAACTTGTAGCTACAGATACATTGAATAATCATTTTGCATTCTTGTCTGAAATAATAAAAATTAAAAATGTAGATATCTATGTTTATTCATGATGGGATTATTCCTTTTGGATCACAGGACAAATTATTTCTTCTAAGACAGAATTTCTTTTAGGATTGTTCTTTTTGAATAGGAAATTGAATCTTTAAATTGAACCATTGTTATGAGTTGAGTGTCTTCTCTAAATTCTGGACTAATCATTTAAAATTTCACAGGGTTTTGCTCCTACTCCTGGTTTCTAGAGAAAGCCTTTATGAGCATATATCTAAAGTTCTCACTGAACTAAAAACTAACAAAAAGTGACACATTTGCATTACCTATAAACACAAATGATTTTTTAAAAATTAGCTGACATTGCCAAAGATTTATATACATTAGAATGTGTTGGAAGAGTATCTAAGGATATACAGAAAGAAAAAGACAAAATGAACTAACTCCCATGATTAAATTTTAAAATTTTTCTAGCAACAGAGAGAGCTTTACCAGCTTGTGAAATTGATTTGGATTTTGCTCATGTTATTGGAACCTTTTAATAACTAACCCCTATGAACACATGGTCTTCAATTCATTACATATTGGTCTTTATTTACTCCTTTGGCGGCTACTGGTAGTGCTGGCCGGGTCACAAAGCTTCCACTTGGCTTTCTCCACTATGGTAACTCTTACTCCACTGGCCAAGAAGCAATATGTAGAGGGATGGATCCATGGACTCAGAGGGCCTATTGTGAGGCAGACCTGGGCCATTGAACCTATACATTACCTGTTTCCCCCATGTGATCCCACTATAAAAGGAGACCATGAAGTACCTCGGGTTCCTAATTAACAATGTCAGCTTGTACCCAGTGTCCAACAATGCTTAAAACATATCCCACTTACCCCGGTGTGTGATCACCTAAATGCTGCAGTGGTTCTCTTTGGATAAAGAGTCAGGGTATGATTATCTACTTGTCATTGTGTTTTTTGCAATGTCCTTCCTCTGGCATAACCAGTCTTTCCTCTAGTTGATGGATTCTGGGTCAGAAAACGGGCTCAGGTCTGGAGAATATGTATGACACTGATTTGGTGATAGATGCATGATTTCAAAAACTAGGAGGAAATGATCAGGTCATGGAGAGACCCCTGGGCTTCAGGTCAGGAGATGTAGGTTCTGTGAGCTTGAGCTTGAGCAATCACCTTTATTTTCACAAGTGACTGTCCTGAGGAGGTAGGCTTAGCAACCTACTCCCTACAGGTCTTGTGTGGACTCTATGAGGCCAAGCAAAAGATTTGACTTGGATTTCAATTAATAATTTAAAAAAAACCACCCACTCTGGTAATTTTTGGGGCCCTGTGAGCTACTCCTTGCTAGCAGATTATTAACAGTTAATCCATGGCTGTCTTGTTTGTGGTTTTATTTCATCAGTAGGCTCACAATATAGGGCTCATAGAATATTTATGAGATACATAAATGAGAGAATAATGAAACTTCCATTCTGTCACCATTTGAAGTAGAGTATCCAGTTGAAAAGGCAGTGACAGGAAATTATTACCCAGTCTAAACTCATTCTCCTTTCTGAATTATGAGCTCCTTAGAAAAACAAGGGTAAGATGCAGTCTAATGATAATATTCACGGAGCACCAGCTCCGTGTAGAATTGCATTCTAAGCATTTTCATTCATCAGAAATGAATGAAATGGGCCCTTAAGATAGCAGACTGGCATAGTGAAGAAGCAAGCATTAACAGAAGACTCTGGGATCAGACCATGTGAGTTAACTATATTAGATCCACTTGCTAGGTTATGACTCAAGACAAGTTACTTATCTTGTTCTCTCATGTTTAAAAGTGAACATAATAGCATCCAATGTTTAGGGTTTTACAGATTGATAATGCAATAAATAGTAGCTACTATAACCATTATTATTAGTTTTGTGACTGAAAAATTATTTAATCTCTCTGGCTTCTATTTTTATTTTTTCTAAAATGGAGCTAATATGAGTACTGAGATATTGTGACTCTTCATGAGAGAATGTGTATAGAGAAGCACACAGAGGTATTTAATATATATTTGTTCCCTTCTCCTTGAATTTCTTTCTGACCTCTTAGTTCAAGAGCACAGCAGCATTTTTTTTTTCTACTAAAGAAACTCTATGGAATCAAAAATATTTATCTAACAGGTTAAAGAATATAGAAAAATAAAGTAATATAGTACCATGTTTAATCATCTTATAAAAGATCAAAAGAATGCTGAAGGGTGTTAATTGGCATAATTCTGTTTTACCATTTAATTGATATTTTAAAAAATAACATCTTGAACATATGATGTTATCTTGTTCAGTTTTTGTAGCTAAAATAAATGGCAGCTTGCCAGTCTTTTAATTGGCTATAAACCATGCTGCCAAACCTGACAATTCAAGCTCCTGTTTTCTTAGTAACTTTTCTAAATCAGAAAAAAAGGTAGTGGGAGACTGTGAATAGGGTGGGATGAGGGGCTGCAGAAAATATGACCTTAATGAATTGCTCAAGTGCCTTCCCAATAATTTATCTTTGCTTTTCTGAAAAATACAACTTCAAGTCAATTTCTTGCATTCTCTTCCTCCATAAGCTATTGTTATTTAGTTACCTGATTACTGTTTTCTTAATATTCTCTTATTGATTTTTGGAAAAATTTAATGTTCTTGGCCTTCATTTTCTTGATAACATCTGCATAGGGAAGGGGAAAATTATATCCATAGAAAATCTGATTTTCTTACTCTAGTTCTAGCTATTGAGATAAAAGTCATTCCCTATATATTTCCTTTAGCAATTGTAAGCTGTTTTTTGTTTTCAATGGTCAGATCATGAAAGATAGTCTTTTGTCTCTCATGGATGTTCAATTATAGTAAAGGAACTTTGAGCTTCTAATTAGTCTCAGACTATATCCATATAAATGCTGTAATACTCAGGTAAAAGTGAAAAAAATGTACCATTATAATAGCTATTTTTAGTAATTTGTTATGTTCCAGGTACAGATATTAAATCTTTTTGCATTTTTATGCCTCTTAATTCTTACAGTTAATTTGTGAGATTGTTTTAAAGATAAGGAAACTAAGAAAGTTTAAGTAAACTCTCAAATTCCCAAAGTCACAGAGCCAATACATGATAGAATTGGGATTTGAATCTATCACTTTGCTCTTAACCAGTCAATGTCATATTCAGGAGACTTGGGCTAAGTGTATAAAATTTAGAGTCATACCAATTAAAAAAAAAAAAAAAAAAAAAGGACAACTACTTGGACTTTTTAACTTTCCATGCAGATGTTTTAGGCTGAAAACATAAAAGTACTGACATTTAACTACTTTAACCTACAGTTAGCTGCCTTACATTTGGATGCTCTAACCTTATTAATCTTTTTTAGCATCTTAAGTTATGTTCTCATTATTTCATTTCTATAATACTATTTGCAATTGCCAATCCTAACCAACCCTTTGAAAAGGAATATGATGTATTGACTCATATATTTAAAAAGGTTGTTGAAATGTTAGTTTCAGAATATACTGAA